AAATAACTTCCATACGCAACGAAAGCCACGGGGAGGGTGTGGGGTTCTGTCATAATATTATAATATATCAGTAATCTAATTCTGCTAATACACAGCAAATAAACATCACGAGGAAGGTGTATTTCAAAACACCCTCAGTTTATGAGCGGAAACCTACATGTACATTTAATGAATTTCTCAGTTGTATTCGTATTTTTCTGTTGTCGTTGTTCTATGCACAGGAGCCTGACGATCCTCGCAGGGCAGTTCCAGACCTGTAGAAAAAAAACTGAAAAATATACCACCCATATACTGTAAAATCATTTATTTTAGCTAGAATTAATTTTCACTGAATATACTCAGCTTTTTGGGCGTTTTGTATGGAATATATTTTCACTGTATTCACTGATTTTGCACTGGTCATCTAACACGCTGGTATATATACAGTATATATATATTAAAAGTTGTGGCTGGCTATGTGTAAAACATGAATTCATCAGATCGTCTGTAAATGAGGGAACCTATGTGGCCATCATAGCCATTAAACTTTGATGAATGGAATAATATTATGTAACAAATGGCAAAGTCACTTGATTTATTGCGCCCTCACCGACTGACTGCGACGCTACTACATACATTTGATTCCTCTTACAAAAACATTTAGTTCACCTGTGTGGAGTTGTCTTACTGTGACATCCACACAACACACGTTCTAGAATTGGACTCTGGGAATAAGTGAGGTTAGTCGGGTAAGATACCTATACATCAGACGATCATAATATATCAGTACCTTGACGTTTACAGTAAATTGAGCCGATGTATATTGTTGTATTTCATGTTGTTGTCGACAAAGGTCAGATGAAAATACACGGTCAACAAACTACTTTTCGAGCAAAAACACGTAAAACATCTTTGAAAATGGTTATTTTACATTGGTTTCTATGGTAAAAAGGTTTCATCATATCTCAAAATTCCGTTCGAAAAAAAAACCATATCTTCTAATAAGATTGGTATTTTTGGTAGTCACGATTTTTTTGTATTTTTTTTATTAATATTATTTATTTGTATTTTTATTAATAATACCAATGAAAAATGACTTTTTTAAATTTTGTTTTCTCTACAAATACAAATGTATGTTTCCTTCCGGTTGGTGAAAAAATAAATTTTAATTGGTGATATGCGTCATAAACTATATTTTTAGGTATTTTTGCACAACATAAATTTTCAATAATTTGTACGCTTCTAAGTTATTAGGTTAATTGCCAGAGATCGACTTAAGATTTAGATTGTCATGCTCTAAAAACAACGTAAACAAATTTAAAGGTCACTATTGACTGCTTCGTTTGGTTCACTTGACTTGTCCAATCTGATTAAAATCCGATGTAGGTATGAGGCTCCAATTTTTATTTTTTTTAAATATTTTTTTATATATATATATAACCCTTTATATTATATTTATTTGTATTTTAGTTTGAGTATGTCGATTTTGTTGGTTTTTCAAACATGCGACTGAGATAATGGCTCAAAAGGAATTGCAAAAATAACACTCATGTAATATTTTCATTAGTTTATAGATAATGTATTTAAATTATTTATTTTATATAACAAATTTTATGTACGATGGTATCTTTACTATAAAAAGTCACATGGTAGCAGTTTCTGTCGATTTTATTCACTAATGCATGTATTCCAGAAATGTGCCCATTCAGAACTGAAAATATAAAATTCCAGATTTAAATTTAATTTAATGGAAGACTATTTATTTAATTATCTATCTTAAATCAGCAATTTGGGAAATTAAATCGAACGGTATTCTATCTGACAGTAATTCCACTTCAAATAGTAATGTTTTTCACAACAATGACTAAAACACTCGTAAAAAAAGATGCAACGTTAAACCCGGGAAAAAGGAACGGTACTGCTACCTTCGAAACTTTCGCGATTATTTTTTAACTACCGGCAAATAAATAAAAAATAAAATTTGTTTTATAAAATAAATAATTAAATACATTATCTATAAACTAATGAAAATATTACATGAGTGTTATTTTTGCAATTCCTTTTGAGCCATTATCTCAGTCGCATGTTTGTCTTCAAAAAGCCCGTAGCGCTATATCAACAGCGACCACCGCCCTTCAAGTTAACGTGTGTTATCAAATGAACATGGTCTGGATACAGATAACACATTTAAAATAAAAAATGCCGAAACTGCATTTGTAACGTTTGCTTCGGTGAAAATAGACCAAATAGTGAATGGCAGACATGGCAGAGTGACTGGTAGTACACAATTTCGTTTGCCCTTCTGCATAAAACCATCGTTACTGTTTGTTATTTGCACTACGACCCCGGTTGTTCGAAAACCACGTGTACACCGTCGAATTGAACAGACGCGCTGTATTCCTCGTACCACAAATACTAAAAAGAATTCAAGTTTGTTAAAAAAAAGTTTCTGAAGTCAACTACATTATGCGTTTTGTACGACACAATTTAACGTTTACGTAAAATAAAGTCCCCCATTAAAATTACTGGCCAATCCCTCAAATTTTCATGCTTAAAAAGTAGGTCAAACTGAAACGCGCTATATGTGACGTAATCGAATGACAATCGTCGAAAGTCACGTGGGCGAGGGTGATGACATTGTTTCTTCATTCCAGAAGTAAAGTCGTGGCTGGTTTCTAACCCGGGTGTGGCCTCAGTGACACCTGATCGACGAGGGAATCATACGATACGATCAGGCGATGCAGCCTGTCAGTTGGCAAGTCATAAAACATTCGCAAAAACGCTCAGTACTTCGACCTACTCAGTCGTCATCCAGCACATGGTGCAAACGTGCAGCACACGCACGCTCGCGGTACTGTACGAGAACCGCACGAATTTAGAATTAACCGATGATGGCAGCAAATATGTCGACTCAGCTTTATGCCTTTGAACAGAATTTTAACGATGTACACTGGGTACACTGGACTGAAGTTACCGGAGTTCCTATCGCCATAGCAGCGTCGGTAGTTTACGTGTTCGTAATCTTCGGACTGCAACACTTCATGGCGTCCCGAGATCGCAAAGAACTTCGCATTCCGTTGATCGTCTGGAATATGTGCCTGGCTGCTTTCAGTATTGTCGCACTCTTTCGAATGCTGGTGAGTTTCCGAGGCGTGATGTCGAGTGAAGATGGAGGCTGGCACTATGCTATTTGCAGTAAGGATCATTTTAACAGCGAGAAAGTTAGTGGATTGTGGTTGTTTCTCTTCACCCTGTCGAAACTCCCAGAACTTGGAGATACCGTGTTTATCGGCCTCCGCAAATCTAACCTAATCTTCCTTCACTGGTACCATCACATTCTCACTGTGTGCTATACGTTCTGGGGGTATGCTGACCGAAACAGCACGGCGTTTGTGTGTACTATCATGAATCTGGCAGTCCACTCTCTCATGTACAGTTACTACGCCCTCCGTGCTGCCCGAATCAAAGTACCCAGAATCGGGGCAATGGCGATAACCTCAATGCAGTTACTTCAAATGGTCGCTGGTACCTGGATTTATTACTACGTCTACAAAGTACACAGTCGTCAGGAGAAATGTGGTATTAGTGTAACACAGTGGCGAGTGGGGTTGCTGATGTACGTTAGTTATTTGATTCTGTTTGCCAACTTTTTCTACCAGGTCTACGTTGCGAAGAAGCCACGCAAACCTCAAATCAAGCGGGACTAATGTTTACAAACCAAATGACGTCGATGTTTGCGAATAAATATGTGTCTACATTGTCAGTATGACCACCAATTCACGGATCATTGAACGTATCTGCTGCTAAAGTGAACATACAAGGCTATCCGTGGTAGAACACATGTATCCGCGTAACGACTGTTGCTATGGCAATGATACTTAATTTCCAGATCATTTCAGGAAACTAGTCACTCGCAATTATGTTTTATCAGTTCTTGAAACGCCATCATGACAAACAATTCAGTGAGAGGTATATGTAGGATTACATTATGCTTTCAGAAAATTATAATGTCTGAAAAAACTACTGACAGGAACAAAGTTGTCGACCACAAACATCAATATTGATTATTATAATTTAAACATCGACAAAATTACTTACCCAGAATGCCCTAGTGCGGCTACCACATAAATTACCATTAACAGCTCAGGAAATATAGTCTAATATGTGAAGGGCGCGCACAGAATAAAAAAAATAGTAATGAACCATAAACATTACATTTATAAATTCTTTAAATTGTTGTATTCAAATTTATCAGTATCGTAAGGTATATCCGTATTTTACAGAAACTTGTTCTAACTTCCCAACAACATCGTTGCTATTACTGCAAGTATATGCAACTGTAGTACTGTGAATGTGCGCTTCAAGCGTCCTATAAGGCTTTCCTATCTGGAATTTGTTTAGAAGGTACAAACAGTATATTCGCATATGGTGGAGGGCACATTTTCAGCATTCTTATAGATTATTTTTTTGCCCAAAACCTTTCAGCCCTCTAAAGTTTTTAAATGGGTAACCCTTAACAGCAAGTTGTATGTTAACTCGTACATTGTTTTCTAAAATTGTTCAAGGTTCTGGCTTACTTCAGTCACAGTCCCTCCACAGCTGTACTTCAGTGGAGAGAGTCATAAAACGGATATGTGCAAATGGACGATGATTAAATGCAAATAGGGTTTGGTTCTATTTTAACTAATATAGAACATGATTTCGCCAAATAAATTGTACATGGCGATACATTACAATAACTTGGAGTAGCTAGTCAATTCAGGGTAAACAATGTCTGCCTACATGGCTAACGTCAAGAGAATTTAGTTGTTATAACTTTCTAAAACAAGGTGAAAGAAAACATTTGTTTGTGTGGATCACGGACCGCCATAATGTGCCAAGTATATTTGCCGAGATTCTATGCAATAAAATGTGTTGTATTGTCAGCCACAGCAAGTGTACTTTGATTGTGTAGTCAGAAGTACTAGTATTCAGTGTAACCGGGGGGGGGGGGGCAGTGCCGGCCATTTCTATATTTCAGTTCAAATTCAGTGTACGTCCCTCTCCGTTGTGCACTTGAAAAATACGATACGAAGCACCCTGTAAAAAACCGTAGTACAGCATCCAGTCACTTATTGGGCGTGACTATCGTCTTTTCTGAACATTTCTTCAGTGAAAATACCCCGTGGCCCAGGCTACATAAATATGGACTGTTGTGTCTGAGGTTGTAGGGTCATATGGACAAGCGATTCCTCCAAGATCCTCCAATACCAAATTGTCATTTAGTATACCCTATCGACACTTCAAGTAGGTCTACATAGGAGTGTGTTGTATTCACTATTGTGTATTTCACATTCGGATACAGCCGAGCATGTCGTATTTACATATACACGCAGTTGCCAAATAGGGTACAGTATCTAGTCGCTTATTGGACGACCACACTGGTGTGATGTGCATTCAAGTACGCGTAGACGATAAATTGTTCCCCTTTAACACTAGGATCATTCAGATTAAAACAAAATATGTTGTACTAGACTCGTTTTTCAGTATCTGTCTTGCAAGTGAATTATAGTAGCAGTTACGCTGCCTTCAACGGTATATGAGCGTTTTTCCGGTTATTAACAAAATGAACATCAACTTCAAAAGCCAGAACAATATATCGTATTTATCAAATTTAAACTGTCACCACTACGGTCAAAGTTGGGCAACGTTTGCAATTACGAGCGTTGGTTTTGGGGCAAGGACGCATCGTGACCTAATAATTACTATGTTGTTATCAGGCCATGAAACAAAATTATCTTTGTACAGTTTCTAAGACAGGTTCTGGTAACGTATCCAACACATGTTAGCCGCAGTCTATCTGAAGGTTTGTTCCATCAGAATAAAGTTGGTATATAATGTTGCAATTTAAAGAGGAAATATATTCACACGTCCGGCGTACCCTAGAAGTTCGTTCAGTGTCGTTGCAATGGCGGTAACGCAAGTTCTGGTATAACCTTTATTTTCTGTGTTCAATTATTATACCAATAGCTGGCACTGTATTATATTGCCACTGTCTATGCGTTCCCATAGCAGCACACGTAAATTCTTGTAATTTTCTAGAAAACTAGTCAGAAAATCGTAATGTGTATTTAAAGTTTATCTTTTAGATTGACACGTACATATATAAATAATAAAAAAAAAAATACCTGGGCATTTCTGTGTTTTTTTCTGATTTAACAAAGAAATAAAAACGTGCGTTATGGTTATGCATAATGTTAATGTATCAGCTCACAGGAACGACAAATGCACTGTATTGTGTCAATGTGCTAACCATAAGCTGTAAGTTGACATAATTAGAATTGGTCATAAATCGAAAGAGGTGCGTTTTGATGATTACTAGTATTTCAAATTTGGTACAGTAAAAGTCGCCGTAACTGGGTTTTTTTTAGTAGAAACAGTAATATTAAATTGGGTTTCATTACTAAAGTATTAAGCGCCTACATCCCAGCATCTCGGCCCGCGCATCTCGAAATTTTTGGTTAGCGCCCCCAAGAATGTTATGTTGATTTTTTTTACGCATGCGCAATTTTCCCCGGAAGTGTATATCAGCTGTTGTTTTGGAATAGTCTTGGTGAGTGAAATGGACAAATTCCTCATAAAAATACCAAGAGAAACATCATTACCCGTATTAGCTTCACCGAAACCACAGAAGAAGGAATTAAAGCAGGCGAAGATCGAGTCACTACAGGTCAGTAGAACCACAGTGATCGAGTACAGTCTTTCTGGGCTCATACCACTAATTGAATTTCCATAGACGACAATGTTAACATATGACGAGATTGCTATATGAAAATGATGAACAAAGTTGAAAACATGGCTCAAAAATAGGAAATCAACATGCCAGTAATCAACCACTTGAAAAAAAACTAACATGTTGGCCAGCTCAAACTCTTGCAAATCTCAGGTAAACAATACACACCTACTGTATTTGAATTGCACCTAGAGAAATCACTGGAAAAACACCAAGATTAGAACATTCAATTGCACACAGAATAAACTCACAGGTACACAGTCGCTAAGTAGTAAACAAAAGACCACATGTTGGTCTCACCTTTGACACAGGTGATCACGCCCTCAAACAGGGAGCACCTGAGAAAAGAAATATTTAAAAAATTTCATTGGTTCTTGCAAGGCATTTAAATTGAGACCTTCTCTATCTCAGTGACTGTATGGATCTAGTAACAAGTGAACTGTGGTGTAAGCCCTATAGTTTTCCCATAAGGCATTGCTTTGAGCATGCTCGGTTTTTGGTTACTTGTAATATGGCGCC